TTCATTTATGAAATACGCTTCTCTACTTGTTTTGGCAATTATCTAATAGATGGCAAGGTACAAGTTCTGTTTTGCATCAGTCTGTGGTTCTTTTAAACTCAAAGCAATTCTAATGTCATATGGAAAGGTAACTCAGTCTAGGAATTTAGATTCCCTGTTCTACCTGGAGAGGCACTAAAATTTGTGTGTGTTGCTATACTACAGGATTTAAAAATATGTTTTTTTGGGGAAAAAAAAATAGAGGGAAGTAGGAAACTAATTATATGTCCTGTCAAAGTTTGAGACCCACAAAAAAAAAGGGGAAAAAAAATAAAAAAAAAAAAACGATTTTGTTCTTGGAAGCGCAAATTTCAGCAGAGCCTACATTTGCTTTACATATTTTAAATTTCTTTTAAAAGATAATTTTAGAATTTTCTAATATCTGAAATTTAAATTTTGTGCCGAATTCACCTTTGATTTCAGGGGAAAAAAAAAGGTTTTGATAAACTGATGGTTTTAATTAGAGAAGCTTTTCAATAAAAATGTCCTGAAAAACTATAACTGCAATCATTAACTTTGATATCCAAACAGAAATTTTCCAACTCAAGCATCTAAATCCTATTGCCAGAGGTTAATGTTTTCCTAGCTTCACTAGTGTATTGACATGGCACTGCTGACCCAGCACAGGGCTTTCTTACTGACTCATGACTGCCTTGATCATCCCCTGGTCCCAGGAGGGGCACGGGGCAAGTCGGTGCCACTAGAGCTGAGACTGGGAGGACACAGATGTGGACAAGCAAGGGGGCCCAAAGTCCTGTAAAGGGGACTAGTTTAAAGCATGGCACAAATCAAACCAAAAGCAACCAAGGACAACAAAGTGAAAACGCCCTTCTGCTTTCCTCCACGTCTCCGATTACAGAAGTCTTTGCTCCAATTTATTTCTCTTTGGAAACAACTTTTTACAGCTGCACATGGCAAGTACTTAGCTAGAGAGTGAAGACGAGAAGCTGGAAAGAATGATTATTAATGGATTCTGCCAAAAAAATAGGCAGGGCAAAGTCTTTCACGGCTTAGCACAAGAACTAGTTGATCTTCCCCTACGCAAAGAGGAGGCATGTCCTGCGCTGCCTTCCTGAGAAGGAAAACAGCGCAGCCACATTGCCTACTGCAGCAACCTGGGCTGGATGCTGAGGAAACATGCAGCACCCCCCACTTTCTACTTGTGAAGCTGGAAAAGTCCACACACATTAAAAGGGAGCGTTTGCCCAAGTCATTGTTAGTTTAAACCAAGCAATTCCATTCAGCTATCTGCATTTTATTTTAAGTATTTGTATCTCCAACCGTTTTCCACAACCTTTGACAACCAAGTGTTTCCATGAAGCAAGTGTAGTCAAAGGCAATGTGTCATGTGGGGGCCTGCCCTGGAGGGCACAGGTTTACCAGGGGCTCAGGGGACTGTAGTGACATCACACATGAGGTCATATCTAGCTGCCTGCGTAGGTCAGACCTAGGCGGACGTGCTAGGCAGGTGAATACGCTAAGAGGGACAAATCCACATCTTGCCTGAACTCGGTGGGAGCTGCAAGCTATTGCTCGAGGAGAGACAAGGTGCCCCGGCCAGCTGCTCCGGGGCCGGCAGCGGCTCCTGGTTCCTGCCAGGTTTTTGGAAGCAGTGCCCAGACAGCATCACACCTTTGTGTTAGCTGGCAGCTCTGAGACAGCCCGCTCCACAGGCTGTGCAGGAGCTCATTGGGAGCCCAGGGAGCAGCTGGGTTTGGACGTTATTTGCCTCCATGCAAGACAACAGGTCTAGCTGAGCTCCTGCTTGTATTCCAAATGCAGCTTTTTGCATAAAAAGTAGTAGTTTGGTGCTGTTTAATCTAAAAAAAAAAAAAAAAAATGGATGGCATCCCCCTGCCACGAAAAAATATACCCACAAAACCAAAAGCAGCCACATACCATCATTCAACGCTTGCATTTCCTCTTTAGAACATTCATCGGCAAGTCCTCTTACTCGACAAGACTCTTCAAATTTGTCCTTGCTAATGCCAATCTACCAAAAGCTCAGAGAAGAAAACAAATCGGTCACTGCAGGCTGGAGTGCTCAGTGCAGGTGCCCTGAAACAGCAGGTACTGGAGGGTGGCAGCCCATTTCCCCTTTAATTTCTTTGTAATAAGAGTGGTTGTCGCAGTTGTTAAACCCTACCTAAAGTTAGCATCACATCTGCCGAGTCCTGTAAATACGGCTGAAACCCTGATCAAACTGGCTGAATGGTTTGGCTAGCTTGTATGGGCAAAACCAAACTGGGTTTATTTTAAGTAAGTTTGAAGACTAAGTTTAGCATATGGCAGACTGAAATATGACTCCTAACATCTCTGCTTTCAAAACCAGAATTGGTAATTAAACGGAGAGTTAAGAACCACTTCAAATCTGAGGCCACAAGCTTCCAGATAAAAAGAAAACTTTTTCCGAACTCAGAAAGCCGTTGTATCTGGATCAAACCCACAGCTGAAAGGAAGCTTTGCGTTGGTTTTACCGGGTCATAAGACATTATTACTCTCATGAAGTCTACTTTCTCTCTTAAACTGCAGTCCTGATGACTGGCAGTCCTCAAACAAATGATCGTGCAAGGATCACTGTTCTCGTCTGTATCTGCCAAGACCCGTTACAGGTGGTGCCGGTCCAGGCACCAGCATGCAGAGAAGGCGCCCCCCGCTTCTGCGCAGAAGGGGTACGGCAGCACCGGGTCTGCTGTGTGAACAGAGCCTGAACTCTGCAGCCAAACGGTGCTTCAGGCGAGCCCTGATCCATCAAAACTTGCTATTAGGAAATGCTGTTCAATGCAGACCAAACTGGTTTTGCACAGCCAGCATGACTTTGAAGTTTGCCATTAGTACCAGCGTTTTGAGATCCATGATAAAAATGAGCCGTTTTCTGTCTTTCCACAACTGTTCACCTGAGAAAGCAGCACAGCTTGCCTTTTCAGGTCTCCCTCTTATGCTGGGAGAAGATCTGGTCGTTACCTTGCCAGCTGCTAATGATAACAACTCAATACTTTCCCGCAGTGCACAGTATAATGCAGTCATTTTATTTGTTGACTCCCAAATTAGAAAAGCAAAATCTCCTCAGGAAACTCAGGAACAGCATGTCACCTTCCCTCCCTGAAAAGCGGAGTACAGGATATACTGTACCATACATATGGAAGTGTTTATTGCCTTTAAAATAACTATTCAGCTTTTATCAATAACCAGAAAAATTTAAAGTCACTGTCAACAAGGAGACTGACATACAGAACGATAGACAGCAGGGCTGGACAGAGGGCATCTACCCTTCCCCCTCCCCTGAGTCACTATCAATTATGTAATTCCTGGCAGGTATTTATCTCTTCTCTCCCTAAAAATCTCCAGTGACGGAAATTCTGCAATATCCCTCAGTCACCTACTTTGTTAGCCTTACAGCTAATGAAGCTTTTCCCAGTACCTAATCTAAACCTCCTTTGCCATGATTTCATTTGCTATTTCTCATCCTATTTACAACTGATGTGCAGAACAATTTATTCCTTTCCCCTTCATGGCTATTTGAAAACTGTTTACATGCCTCTCTGATCTTCTTTTCTTTAGGCTAAGCAATCATATTTCCTCCAGTCTTTCCTCGCGGGCTGTATTTGGTCCATCTCTCATCATTACTGCTGTTCCTAGGACGTTCCATAACCCCGTATCATATTTGAAATGGGTGAGGGTGACACAATTCACCATCTTTATATCAGTATTGCGTTGTATGTTCTTTTGCAGCATCCAATTTACTCATTTGAAATAAATTATAAATGTCAATTTAAAAATACTCATATTTTCCCTATACACATGTCTCCCTCCTGCAAACAGGCCATCCTTTCTAACAGGTATGTTTGGCTACTGATCCCACAGTAGTACCATCTTTTTTGGTCCTCTAATGTGGAGTAACTCTCCAAATACTAGGCTTTGCACCAATCGTCATCCTGGCAGCAGTTGTTCATGCTCAGTATGAGTTGTGGAGCAACGAATGAAGCGAGACATTTGTCTGCTCCTAGGGCTAACTCTTCCCTCTCACATCTCCCAAGCCCGGCACCCAGATTTCTCCAGACTGTCGTTTCCAAAGCAAGCATGCTGCTGAAACTACATCAAAGCATCAACCCACAATAGGCCCTATCAAGAAGAAGCCCAGAATGGTTTTGTGCTCATGTCTACAGAGAACCAAAATCCCAAGTGCCTCTGGGACCCTCCCAGCATCAGTTTCTACCTGGCCCACTAATCACAAAGAAGCCACAGTCAGGGCTTACAACACAGTGCATTTGAGATAGGAAATAATATTTGATCTGCTGGACGGCACCAGCTCTAGGTCAGCACGTTGCAGCCTATCTACAGCACAAGCTTTCTGCTTGAGCCTCTGCTGCAGTGAAAACAAAATTAAAAAGTAAACTCACTGTTCTTTCTTTCTGATTCACTATGTGTCTCAGTGGACCTTTTCATACCATTTCTGTTCATTAGCACCAAACTCTGAACATTTCAGCCTTCACTGTGCAGTTTTCAAGTGTAACGTCATTTGCTCTAAGTCAGGACAACTACAAATTCAGAGTGCCTGGTCAAATCATATCTTAGGTCTCCTGACATACTTGTGAAGTCTTAAATCACTCCACTGTTAGTCCTGTGCAACTGGAATGAAAAAAAGCCCGCTGCACATGTTAAAAGCTTGTGGATTTGGCAGAAAATTTGATGTAACCTAAGGCACCTAAATCTGACAATAGGAAAGGTGTGCCATATCAGAGCGTGTCAGTAAACTGGCGTTGCCATTAATCCTGCCCTGGAGAAGAATGACTCCTATATTGTCACACTGCAAATCAAGACATGAGGTGGCTCTATGGCTTCTGACTGTTGTAGGCCAGGGATGACACACGCCGGAGACATGTTTCCCTGTGCTGCTGCTCACACAGTGACTGCTCCCCACTCCCGTCCCTCTCCCGGTGCAAACCCCACGGGCTCTGTACCTCGTCACCAGCAGGAGAGATGCTTGCACGGAATAGGAGGCCTGGCAAATTCAGTCCAGCATACACTTGATGAAGTTAATTAGATTGCAATAATATTTCCCAGGTTGCACATTCCTGCAAGGAAGGAAAAAAAAAGAACTATTAATTGTGAAACCGAAACGTTGGGGACCACAGAGCCTGGGTATGTATCTATTATGCACTTCTTTGCGTAAGTAGAAATTCTGCACGGGAAACTGGCAGCGTGTAAAGAGGAGCCCGCCTCCATCTAAAGAGGAATCAGAACAGGAAAATACACTGACTGTGCTCTTCATATCAGTCCCTGAGGCCAAAGGGCCCGATTCGTTCTCGAACAAATTTGAGATAATTCCCCCGACTTCAGCATAGCATAGTAAAAGCCAATATAAATGGTGGACTGAAAGCAGAAAAGCCTAAAAACATGTGTGGATGGATGTGGCGGTAAGACTGAACGGAGTTATCCACTGCTACAGTTGCTCCTCTTAGAAGAGCCATGGTTCACCGACCAGCTTTGTAATAAGGAGGCTTCTCTCTAGTTTAGGCTAGAGAAAAAACGCATGCAAAAGCTGAAACAAATCAACTACACAAAAGTAAAACCGACCTCCTTCAGGCTTTAGATGCTTTTAACAGCTAATTACAGAAATGATTTGCAGAACTTGCATTCAAGTGTGTGTGGGGAAGGAAGGGGGAGGGAACGGCCAGCAAGATGTGACAGAGACGTGCTGCAAATAATGTCCCAGCAAAAGATACCCTTGTCCATTTGATGTATTTAATATTAAAACAACAAAATGTCTTTAACAATCCAGTCAATTTAAAATAAAATATAAGAACAGTAACCATTCAGCATTTTATGGATTTACTTCTATTTAGAGATCAAAGTCTCAAGACTCCAATCTGTCCCTGGTATGAAACCTTTGCATACACTATGTGGTGAAACGAAACCCACAAGGGGATCCTGCTATAAACTCTCTGAAGCTGGCCTGTGCAGTTCAGGTTTGCATCTTAACTCCTATTTTTTCCCTTGCAGAGAGTAGGGCAACCCTGTGCCGTTGAGCCAACTGCACGGTGGACACAAAGTTAACAGAGCAATGCAGCTGAGTAGCTTTTGGGTAGCAAAACTGGCCAGTGATTAAAGTGGCATTCTGAGTGGTTTATTCTGTTTGTTTGCAGAATTAAGGATACTTTAAAGTTGCTTTCATCTAACTTTGAAGCTCTCTCAAACTTACAAACTTTTATACTAATGGTGTCCAAGGGAAAGGAACCAAAATAAATAATTTAAAAAAAAAAATCATACAGAAAAATGAAATTTTCTTCCATAGATGCTATGAATATGTGCAAACACATACACACAGTCTCCCTTCCTTCTGAAGTTCAGTAAAAGAGGAGGGTTTTTTTCCTGAGCACAGAATTTGTCCCCATCTGGTTCCATTTTTTACTATTTTCTTTTTTTGGTTTCTTTCTCTCTCATTCCAATCCATATTTATTTCCTTTTGTTTAGTCTGTACTCTTTATTCCCTTTCCTCTTTTTGCAGATTTCCTTTTTAATTTGTTAGGGAAAGAAACATTCTTTCCCTGGTTTTCATAATGCAAGCTGGTGGAACAGGCGCATTCAGAAATTCCCCCTCTCCTACACCCTCTCCTGCTCTTTCCCTCCTCTTTCAGTCCTGGTTGCCTGTGCTCACTCCTGGTAGCAGAGTAAAAGTGTTAGGCTTTATTTATTTAGGAAAGTGTATCAGTTTATTTTTTAATTCAGTTTCAAATACCTGGCGCAAACCACTGTGTGGAGGCTCAAATATATTATTTACGAGCCATTATATTTAGCTTAAAACAACTCCTAATCTCTTTGAGATGAGCTGCTATAAGGCAGGATTAGGCTGAAATGAAAATGTCTGCAGCGGGATTTTACTAAATTGGTTTTAAATCACATTCTTAGTTAAACAGAGTTGAGTTTCACAGTGCTCTGGGGAAGGCTATAAACCCTAATAAAGCAGAAAGGATGACTTTGGGCAGAACTTTGGCTCTCTTTGCAAAACTTGCCGGTTTTACAGAAGCAGAGAAGCCCAGCTAAGGCCAGAGCCTTCTGCATGGGAAACTCCAAAGCTCAAAACCTGAGAGCAAGCTTTGCAAGGCTGCGGAGAGTGACACCCGCAGAGCTGTAAACTGCCAGAAACGTGGCCCTGCTATTCCCAAATTGTGGAGACCCTCAGCACCCCGCAGCAGAGCCAGACCCAGCATCTGCCTCCCTGGGCAGGAGGTGGTGAGGAATTCCCCGCTCGAGCAGCCTGGTCCTTCCTGAACCGCTGCATTCATTTTACATAGATGTGTTTACGCTGAGATCAGGGTGAATGCACTAGGTGGTATGAGGAGGGTAAAACAGCAGTGCAACTTAGTCTGTTTTTCTACAGAATCAGGGAAATGCTTTTAAAAAGATTTGGGAAGAAGTATGGACAGTTTTAGGAATACTTGCCTGACACTCAAATCTCTGATTGTAATCTCTGGCATGCCCTTGGTACAGCATCTGTCATCCCCAACAGCTGCATTTAGTGATAGAGCATGACCACTTCCACAGTCCAAGCCCCTCCGCCTGGCAAGCTGTGACCTTGCCTAGCGAGCCAGGGAGTCTCTGCACAGAGCAAGCACCTTTGCCGTTGACCGCCGCTGCTGGCACTGGCTGCGCAGCTGTCACCTCCTCTTCCCCCCACGCTCTCCCAGCACCACGTGTGCCCTGCGCTGGGATTTAGTTGTAGTTCAGGTTCTGTGAAGCACTACTACAATATTCTACATTTCATCATCCTGAAGTTTATTTTCTTTTTAACTTTCACTCCGACTTTGCATTCAAAATTTTTAATTAATCACAATTGCCTAGTAATATTTAAAAGTAATGAATGCATTTTTCTGCAGGAATACAAAATGTACATCCCATTGAACAGCCTCCCTCTGAGAGTTCCCAAGTTCTCCAGCACCAAACTGGTGCTGTTTCATTCCTGATACGGTGCATTCCCAAGCCAAAACCCTCCAGCACAGAAAAGCTGGGATGGAATTCCTCAACAGGAATCACCAGGAATGAGAGAAAACCTTAACAAGAGACTACACCAGTAAACTCCAACAGAACACCTATATACTTAGTACAGCCAAAACAAAATAAGTTCTCGCTATAGTCAATAGCTTTAACCTGCGCTTGGAAAAGCACTTTCTGGTATTTATTAACACTGAACACTTCTATTAAAAATCCAGACCTTTTGTTCATTATATGAAAGTCTTAACAAGACTGAGAAGATTTCATTCGCACTTCTAACGTGACTCAGGTCCATACTGCTGTCGTACAGCAAGGCAGGCTCCAAGCTTCTCACAAACCAAGCTAACTCACAGAAGAGCTTCCCATTTTTGCCCCGTAAGGTCCTGCTCTGAAAGCCCATGTCGCTCGCTACCTGCTAACACAAGTGCCATACTGACCACTTCTTATTCCCCCCCCGCCAAAAATCTGTGAAAATACGTATGCAGAACCCCTGTAGGATGGTTAAAGAGACATTTTAAGAGGACTAACCTGTGCTATTTGAATCCGTTGGACGTCACCCGGTTCTGAACTTCCCCAGCAGCTTCAATCTCGTTTCCTGTAGAGCTGCACGTGACACCACACTTCCTCACCACACCTTGCTAGACTCGCTTCACTTACTTTTAAAAACCAGATGAAGAAACTGTCCCTCACAGCATGTTTAAGAGCTTTCTGCTCTCGTGTTGAACCACTGACATTTCTGCATAGCCAAAGAGCCCTCCTCTATTGCCTTCTGAGTCACTCCATGATTCAATGGACCTTTTTGTACTATTTCTTTGTATTAATACCAAACGCTGAATGCGATTCTGTTACAGTATGTTCACTGTCCCCCCTCTTCTTTTAAAAAGGAAACAAATGCAATAGTGGAGATTGTAATTACACTGCAGGCGTGGGAAATTTCAGTTCAAGGATATTTGTTTATCAAATTTTCAGAGTGGTAATGAATTGATGTATTCGAATAGATGCAGTTATCGGCAATTTTCAGAAATATTTTTCATTTCAACATGGCAAACAGCTTTCACAGAAGTTTGAGTCCCATGAAAAATGGTTTATGACTTCAGAAGAGTAGAGGTTCTCTTCTCCATTGTAGCAGTGTGCATCCATATATTGTCATTTAGTGATGGGACAAACAAGCCTGAACATACGTCACAAAAGGAAGGACAGTAAAGTCCTGGATTAGAAGAGTACGTTTTACAGGATTAGTCAATAGGTGGTGCTTTAGCAGAATTTTTTTTAAAGACGTGAATTTTTTTAAAGACACGTGAATTTTGGAAAGGCAATCTAATCCTAAGTGGTACCAACACCAGAAATGCTGACACAGCTTGGAGATAGTTTGAAGACTACCATGTCAGAGGAGAGGCAGAATGGTCTTACCAGGGTCAGCAAGGAGATACTGCTCTGCTGGAAGATGCTCCTTGTGGAGCATGTTAAAGACCCTTCAGTTAGGCTAAGGCGGGGGTGGAAATCAATTAAATGTCCCTTTATTTAGTGAGAGCTGAAAAAACAACAGCCAGTGCCTCGGGCACTGATCAGCCTGGCAGGGACAGAGTGAAGGCGGATGGGTTACACAGCCAGAGAGGTTCCCTTGGAGACTGATTGCAAACATCTGTGCTGGAGCACTGATTGGATTTAGCTGTACCTAAGTGTGGGTGTGAAGAACCTGAAGGCAGGAAGAGAGTGAACAGACAGTGATGCTGCACATTTGGGATGCAAAGTTTTCAGCAGCAACACTCATTTATGGCTGTTCTCCCACTGCCATTCACTTCTCCCACTGCGCCCCATGGCTTTCTCAGGTGTGTTGGCATGGTGGTTCTACAGCCTGTGCCATGGACCGTATTAAGGAACTGATCTAGTGTTCAAAAGTTGATTAGGTTTTTTTTCTCTTTTCTCTTTTTCTCACTTTCAGGCAGCAGGGGACAACTGCTAGCATGAAGCTGGCTCTGCTGCTACCCAGGCTGTAACATAAAACCACAGCTTTCAGTGGTGAGAGGCTCAGAGGAAACCA